AAAATTTCTACCAAACAAGCACTATATATGTGAGGTAAAAGCTGATACCGCCTCCTCATTGCCAATCGACAAACTTCTTCACACTGAGAGAGATAAGAGTCTCGCAATTGGGGAAATGAAGAGTAGCAAGCAGTAATCTTAAAGTAAATGCATTGATATCAATGTCACGAAAGATAATAACTAGTAAAAATTAGGTTGTATCAATAGAAATTCAGTTGAAATAGGATAATACTATTTCTATACCAGTACAAGGAGATAGCTTGGGTCAAACATAGAGAATAGAAGTATAATGCACAAGATATAACATTTCAGGTAAAACTAAATCACTGATTTGCTACTTCAGGTGGCTTTTACGTACTAGGTATTACTAGGATTTGAGCTAAGTTCCAGAGAACTAATAAGAGAAATTATTTACATAGATTTTTCGACTTCTAACAATTAAATGAAGACCTAATGGGAAACTCAAACAGAGTTAACCACCTGGAACTCCGACATGTAAGAAGTTTCAGGTAAAAGATGAGATGGAACTCAGTAGTTGGAGGACCTAAAATGACTGTATATCACACTGAATTATTTAATTTCATAAAAGATATTTTTAAAATGTAAGTCACCACCTAGTAAAAAAATTAATGCTTAAAAAAAGGGTTCAACTAACTATAACACCCTCTCTCACATTTAAAAATTCTTATTAAATGAATTATGCACTTACATATACTATATCATTTTAGATCTATTGACAACATTGAAGCTATGCAAAAAAATAAAAAATAAAAAGCACCAGTTTTGCATATTCAATAAAATATTATGAACCTTACATAGGATATACTATATTCTCACTTGCGACCTCTCCAATATCTGCCAGTTTATCCTAACTACGTAAAATGTTGAAGCGCTTTTTGTGTAGTCACTTCAAAGGAAAGAAATTCATTTGACAAAAAACTCACATATGAACTTCACAGTTACATTGTTAGTCACTTATTTGTGAATGAAGGACCAACCTCTTCTCCGAAAGACCATGGCTCATGATCAACGCTACGTTTAGTAGAATGCCCACGACAGAAAGGAAACATAGCGCCCACACCCATCCACCTTCCAAACAGCTTTGGTGTTGCGTCTCCAACAAATCCACCAATATCTGGCCCTGAATTTGGCTGTCCACTAAGCCCCTGGACACAAGCTCAAGCTCATTAATATGGTCGACTATAGGGAGTGGAAAAAACCAAAAGTGGCAGCATTCTTTAATTCAATGAAAAATTCAGTTAGGCATACTCTCCCAAGAATTTGTGCCAATAAAAGTCAAAAATAAAATAGAAACGTCATTATATCAGAAGATGAAAGGATAAGTACCGGGGTCACTTTTTATCTCCCTCTTCCATTAAAGAAATACTTGAATAAAAGCACATATTTAAAACTACAGATTCTTAAAAGAGTTATGCGCATAAATTCATTCTCACATCGTAGTCACACGTATATGCACACCACTCACGAGTATTAGCATATGCTTACAAGTCCCTCGTGAGGCTTCTAATTTTGTAGAGCCTATTGTTTAAAACATGCTTCCAAATCCCTCCTTGCGGGCTTGAGGCATGAAAATTTGACGTTGATAAACAACACAAGCAACAAATTTAACTTGTTGTGTTCATGAGGGATATCCACGATCTCCCTCTAGTGATCTCCTCGTACAATTTGGTCTCTTGCCACCATTAACAGCACAAGTATTCCTCAATGACTGATAGCATAGAAGTACCACAAGGGGAAGCTTAAATGAACCGCTTCAATTCCTCCAAAGTAGTAAATGATCTCATCTTTTAATTATTTTAGATGTCAATTTGTTCTTTCAGATCCCTTAACTATGTGAACAGTATCTTAGGTGCATTTATTACTCATTTTGTTCATTCCCAAGCTTTCTATGGTGATATTTTGTTGTATATCTTTATTAGCTCTCACCCTCGAGGGTAAACATAAAGGCCCATATGATGGAGGATTAATATTGATGACACCAAAAGTAAAAAGTTCTGAGTCCGGAATAGTCACACATTGAAAACACAAAATATTGTTCTCCTTTATGGTTTTCAAAGATATGTTTTGCAATAGCTTCCACTTACCAGATTAAGAACCATCGGGATACTCATATGAAGATGCGGCCAATTAGACACGTTATCTCTTGTCCACATAGCAGCATACCTTTGGCTACCCACAAACCCAGCTCGAGTAAGGACAAATGGACGTTTTCGTTCGTTAGCTAGTTTCATGCCTTCATATGTTGATCTTGCCATCAGCATACCATAAACCTGAAATAAGCAACTGACATCAGTGATGAAAATTCATATATTGTACATGATGTGAAAGAAAATCATTCATTAGTAGATTATTTTTCATTTTCTCATAGTAAGCAAACTAAAAAGCTTCAGCTACGCTTATCAATTTCATGAGTAAAGTAGAAGTACTTAAAGAAGAGTACAGGGCCAAGCAGTACATTGTGATAGTNATTTTCATCTTTTTCCCCCTTTCCTTAAAATTAGATTATTTACTTTAATTCCTTCTTATATTTTTCTTCTTGTATGTCGTGTAATTAAGTAATTAGTTAGGATGAATGATTGTAAGCTAGTTTTAAATCTTAATTTTAATTAAAAAGTTTTAAATCTCAAATTAGTTATGTGAATTGTGTTGGAAAAAATGGTTGGGTGGCTGACTTTGGAGCTAAATTTGAGTGGGACCCGATTGTTCATTTTGAAATATGGAAGTTGATTTGTGTTCTCCTTCGTCAGTACATCGAAATCATGTATTTACTTACCAAAAATGATGCTCGGGTTAATGAGAAATTGGTGCTCAAAATATGCCATGTAAAAGGAGTTTATGTGAGTAAGAAAACTAAAATAAACTTGTCCCACACAGGAAAATGAGGAAACCAAAAACCACTTTATATAGGATTTCACTTTGGAAGGGTGCAATCATGTGTAGCATAGATGCTCTCTCCACTTGCGTGCGCAGGGGGGTGCAAATCACTGACAGAAATGGGTTTCGGACCTTGAACTCGTATGCGAGCGCGACCTGCGCACACTAATGTCGGACTGGATTAACCAAAAATTAGCCCCTCAGGTGGGCCTACGTTTTGGAATTTGTTTTTACTTTCTAGAACTGACTTTTGGGTTTTTGAAACTACAAAACGTCTGAAACTCCCTTAGTTATTACGAGTTATGAAGACTTTAAGTGTTAAAAGTCTATATAAGATAACATTTTTCCTCCAGTTCGATTTTCTGGTGGTGAAAGCAAAAATCACTTTATATAGGATTGCACTTTGGAAGGGTGTAATTATTTGTAGCATAGAGGTTCTCTCCACGTGCACGCGCAGGAGGTTGCAAATCACAGACTAAAATGAGATTCGGACCTTGAACTCATATGCGAGCGCGACCTGAGCGCACGAATGTCGGACCGGATTAACCAAAACTTGGCCCCTCAGGCGGGCCTACGTTTTGGAATTTGTTTTTGCTTTCTAGAACTGACTTTTGGGTTTTTGAAACTCCAAAAAGTCTGAAACTTCCCTAGTTATTACAAGTGAGTTATAGAGATTTTGGAAGTTAAAAGTCTACATAAGAGAACCTTTTTCCTCTTGTTCAAACACAAGAAATTTCCTCCTGTTCTGTATACTGTCGAAACTCCAACTCTGCATTCTGCTTCTGTCTGTCTTGCATACTGTTTTCCTTCCAAACCTTGTTTCGATTTTCTAGCGGTGATATTGTTCAAGCACTAACTCAATTCGTTGGAGTAAAAAATTGGTGTGTTCAGATTTTACTGGTTAATCGTTGTATCCTAGGAAGCAGACGCTTAAATTATACCTCAAGCAAGAACGGTGAGTGGGCGAATCTGTTTTAAGGAAACTGTGTTCGCACAGGCCTCGGTTTGGGAATTTTTTCTTGTTGCAATTTATATTTCTTATTTTGTTATTTTACTGCAATTAATGAATTATTCCCCTTGTTGTTTTTCGTAAGTTGTTTATCAAATTTGAACCAAGACAAGCCACATATTCTTGGATACGTAATTGAAGAGAAACTGAAAAATTAATATATGTTTTTTGTGCGTATCTGAGCATGCAATTAAATTATTTTTAAGCTAGGAAATCATTTAACATTTGTGTGGTGACTATAGCTTTCGGTTTTAATAAGACAAAAGTCACTGTGATTATCTTGATTACTTTTTCTGTTTATATTCACGAATAAAGAAGTTTGTATTTCAGCCTAATAGTTTATCCACTTAAATATTACAACAAACTTATTGAAGGAAGTTTTTCCTTATATTGGACACTTTAAAACATATACTTATTTCTTTTATTTTATTTTTTTTTTCCATTTCAGAAATGGAAAAAAAATTCCACCAATATGGATGTGTTCCAAGCTGTGGCTACTCAAACTATTGGTAAGACTGTGGCTAAAGTGCCAAGTTATGTTGTGAGCAAACCCGTGGCTACTGTTCCGGTTAATCATGGTAAAAAATCGGAGAAATTCAATGGTTTGAAATTCAATGCTATTTTATCTGACCACCTTGAATCTTACGAGATTCTTGATTGAAAGTGCTCCAAACCTCAATGAGGGTGAGGGAGATGTTTAAGCGATCAGCGCACTTGATGCATGGAGCCATTCGGATTTTTTGTACCAAAACTACATTATGAACAGCTTAGCAGACTCGCTATACAACGTGTATAGTACTGTGAAAACTGCTAAGGAGATGTGGGAGTCTTTGGACCGAAAATATAAATTGAGGATGCCGGTGCTAAAAAGTTCATTGTCAGCAGATTCTTAGATTATAAGATGGCAGACTCCAAAATAATAATCAGTTAAGTGCAAGAACTCCAAGTGATTCTTCATGAAATTTATGCCGAATGGATGATTTTGAGTGAAACTTTCTACGTGGATGCAATTATT